TATTATTTCTGTGTGAGTGTACCATCAAATCAGATCTCACTGGTACAGGAGGAGATTGTCCCTCCTTCCCCGGCAGAGCATCTGGTGGATTCGAACCGTGCGCCTCTGGGATTGTAGTTGCAGCTCCTTACCACTAGGCCACCAGAGCTCCCCAACAATAAGTATTTAGATTAAGAAACAGAGGCCCTCTCCAGCCCCGTGCCCATATATCCCTCCCCCCCTGTTTCATGTGAAAATGCCTTCCTAACTTTTGATGTTTTTGTATTGTTTAGTTTTGGATTTTAAGTACCAAATTAAAATTTAGCTCTGTAGGAAAAGGGAAATAGTGTCACTGTTAGATGAACGCTTCCTAGGAGAAGTTAAGGTGCGTCCAGCTTTAGCGTCTCTGATAATTTACCATAACCCCTTCTGACATCAGTGTATCAAGTCAGTCTTGGGAACATTATCAGAAATGCTGACAAAGGTATCAAACTGAAAAGAAAATCTCCCACAGATTGAATTCATTACAGATCAGTGGGAGAAAGATACGTAGTCTCCTTAAATGAAGATTTATATAGTCTCCTTAAATGAAGATTTATAGCCTCAAAACCACAAGGGGATGTTCCACTATAGACCAAATACTGCATACCTGGCTGAAGGAAGAGGCTGCTCTGTCATTTTTGTTTCTAAGCCCACCATGACTTCATATGATCCCTGTGTAAGAATGTGGAAAGAAAGCAGAACCTTGTATCAAGACAAGTTAGATAATTTTAAGAACTGATTCAGGTTCTTTTGGGTATTTTTGTACTCAGATTTCTCACTATTTCCATCAAGTCAGAACTACCCTCACTTAATGTTTCCTAGGCTGTAAATTTTCCATCTTTCTCCCTTGGTGCATCTGGTGGATTCCAGCTGCCTGAGGCGTAGCCACTTAGATGCTACTTGTAAATAAATGCTTCTTACATATTTGTCATGCTGTCTTGTCCCTCTTTTCCAGGCTTTTCTGCTTTTGACTGTATTAACTGTCAATATTTACATTTATTACCACTGTTTTGTAGATTTTATTTCCCACAGTTGTCTCTGTGTGGCATTAATCCCTTTCTTGAGTTGTTTTTTGTTTTCTGATTGGAATCTTATTTTGTTAAAGTTACTTATGAAAGCTTTTTTCTTCCTACAAAGAGTAAATGTATGAATCTGAATCCTTATACTTCTAAAAACTGTGTTTTACTCACATAATAAATGAAAATTTTAGTATAAACTATTGATTATTGGGCTAACCTTCCCCCCCCAACCAATTAATACCTCTCTAAATTATCTTCTCACAGTATTTTTTGTTAAGTGCCATTGAGTTGGAACCAACTCATAGGTGACCCTTCCAGTGGGTCTTTAGAGGTGGTAAATCATGTGGAGGAAGATTGCCTTTTTCCCTCAGAGGGTTTGAACAACATGTCTTTGAGTTGGCTGCTAGGCCACCAGAGCTTTTCTAGTCTCACATTTAAAATTGTGAATAAAATATTTGATAGTAGTTGATGATACTAACTGATGGAAAGTAGTGTCTTTTTATATTCTTTCATTGTGTGTGTGTGTGGTATTGTGGTTTTATATTTTAAAGCTTAAATATTTTGTTAGGATAAAAACTTAAGGTGTTTTTTTATCTTCATCTCCCACTAATAGTTTTGCTTAGCATGTAAGGATTTTGAAAATATAAATTATTTTAAAAGTACTTTATTCTCTGTTTTTAAAAGCAATTAATTTTCCCCATTCTGCTTTGTCACCTCTTTAATGGAAGTATGCTTATTTTCCCCCCATATAATCTCTGATTGAAATGGTTAATTACTGCTTGATTTCTTTCCATTTATTTATTATTTTTACCTCACTTAACAGTTACTTGTTGTAGGTAGCATTTCTCACTGCTGGAAGTAGGAATGAGGAAGAGGTTTCTCTGGATAGTCAGTTTGTTTTACCTTTTTTGAGCTACTGTATCTAATGATATTTTTGTCCACTTATCTTTATTAATAGCATTGGTAGTTGAGATGAGTTCTTAGAGAATAAACCAAATTTTCTCAGTCTTTTACATTAGATGGGAAAGTTCAGAGCTAATGTGATCCCCCTCTCCCCATAACTCTAAATAATGATTTACTTATGCAAAAGAATGACTGAGCAGAAAGAAATAGCTATTGGTTTAGGAATTTACATCTTCATTTGGGAATGATTTCCTCCTCATGTCTCTCTTGACAGCTGGTGCTAGCAACTTCCTACTCTGTCTGGTCTTTCATCGGAGCCTAAACCTCTGGGTTTCTTCCCTTGTTCCTCATACCTCAGCCTCAGCCTGAGCCACTGTCCTCCAAAGAGCTCCATCTGTCTCCCTTACCGGTTCTCATCTCCTCTCCCAAGGTATGTGTAAGATTGGAGATATGGGGCTGAATGGGCAGAGGTGTGTCAAGTCAATTCACTTCCCTATCTGGAACATAAAAGGTGTTCTTTGACTTGGTTCTGTGAATGTTCCTCTAGAGGACCCTGGAAGTGCAGTAGTTAAAAACTTGATGCTAATGAAAAAGGCTTTGATTTGAACCTACCAGCTGGGCTTCATGGGGAAAAAAGTGTGGCATTCTGCTTCCACAAAATGGTACAAGTCTTGAAAACCATATGGGACATTTCTCTGCCCAGTGAGGATTACCATGAGTCAGACTGGACTCCATGACGTGACAGTGAGGATTCTTTTCATGGACTTCCTTCTTGAAAGGGGTGGTTGACAGTTACTTCTTTTTCTTCTTCCCTCCCTGGGCTGTTTCATACCAAAACACCTTGAAGTATGTATATGTGCATGCAGTGTTTCTGGATGTTTAATTAATAGCCCATTGCCTTCTAGCTGGAACAGATGCATAGCTGACCCTCCAGTGTGTTTTCAGAGGCTGGACATTGCACAGGAAGGGATCGCACATCTCTCTCCTTGGAGCAGCTGGTAGAGTACAACCTTCTACCTTTGGTTTGGCAGCACGTTCTGTACCCACCAGGCTACCACTGACTATTTATAAGATTTTCTTTATTTAAAGAGTTTTGTTATAAGTGGATCTTGATGTTATAATTTTCCCCCCAATAATTTTTAAAGTGCTAGTCATGCTTCCTAAAAAAAATAGTATGTTTTATGTCCAGATCTGAAACATTAAGTATTATGAAGTATCAGTATTTATATGTGAGATAATAGTTTTAAACAATATGTTTATAACCAGTGACCCTTGTTTGGGAGGTAGATATTTTAGTGTTTTTTCTTAAAAATGTGAGAAAGTATATTGGAGAATATAAAGTATAATATTTCTGTTCTATTATTAGCTGATATATTCACTACATCCAACAGTTTTTGCCCTTGCCACTCTTAATTTATTTCATTTGCTTGTTTCCATGTACTATAAATTGAATAGAGTTGAAGGAAAAGAAAATAAATTATTCAAAGTTAAAATTTAAGGATAGATGAATCTGTTGAGGACTGAAACCAAAGCAAATTCATTTCCATAATAATTAAGTAAGAGTAAACTGTGCTGAGAATGTGTAGGTATGCATTTAATTGGTGAACTCCGCAGCATCTGGTATGGCTTCCAGGCATCCCCGCTGGAGAGTCAGCTGTGAGTCAGCTTCAACTTGATGGTACTTAACGACAAGAGTTCTATATTTTCAGCTTCCTCCCATAAATAGATTGTAAACTATTTAAGAAATGCAGCCTAGATGTTCCTTCAAGGCAAGAATCCGTAGACTTGTGTCTCACTTACTTGAGCATATTATCAGGAAGGACTTCTCCTAGGAAAAGGACTTGGTACTGAGAAACAGAGGATCAGTAAAGGAAAGATAGATCTTCAGTTAGATGCATTGATCTAGTAACTGCAGCAGTGAACTTAAACAGAGTGTGAAGGTGATGTGGAGTAGAGCAAGTTTTCTGTGGTACATAGGGGGTCACCATGCTACCATCTGCCCAAATATATGGGAACAGAAAAACCAAGTAACCAAAATGACAGAGGGCCTGAAATTTTGTATATACACTTTGGGCTTAACACAGGGAGATGTGCTGTCATTGCTTCCTTTTTTCTTTTTTCCTCTTAGTTAAAACTCATTCTCATCATTGGGTCATAAGAACTGTGAAATAGAATTCCCTGGTTTGATCCATAGAGAGATGTGCTGCTAACACAAAGGCTATGCCTGTGGTGCTCCAAATCCACCCGTGGCTCCAGGGGGCAAAGATGGAGGACATTTCTCCTTCCATGAAATTTAAACCCTTGCAAACCCAAGGGCAGGGGCAGCTGTGACTTGATTCCAACTCCATGACAATGAATTTGAGCTAGTAATGTTAACTTGCTAAGAAAGTAGATACTGTTACTTGTTATTATTAGTTAAATGAAATTTTATTTTAAATGTAGCTTATTTCCAGGACATAAGGAAATAGAAAAGGAAGAGAAGTCTTTTGAGATTCTTGCTAACTAATTGCAGTGAGATCAACAAAACAAATGAAAGTTAACAGTACATGGGTGTATGAAAGTACATGTACATGAAAGTTTTTAGGGTTGCCTTCCTAATGATTGAGATACCCTGTTAAAGATTTAGTAGCAAAATCTTCCAGCTTGAGTGCATTTATCCAACTAGAATTTTTCTTCTGAGAACGTTGAAGCTCAGAGAAATTAAAACTCAGCCAGAATCACAGAGCAGACAGACCTTGTATGTTTTGACTCCCAGATGATTGTCATCTTTGCTTCAAACTTTACTTCTTAATAAGCTATTCTTAAAAGACTTCTAGGTCTCTTGAATCTTTTCTTTATATGTTTGATTAACAGCCTTATCTATGGAGTTTAAGCAGACTTTTTGTTGATACTTATGTGGTGAAGATTTTAATTCTTTGTTTAATTTTAGGTGAGTTAATCTGGGAAGAATCCTGGTGTTTTGAAGATGTCTCGACACAATATTATGTCCCGTTTAAGTTTCAAATAACTTCAAGAATTGTACGGGGGAAAAAACGGAGAATTTCGTCTTGTTAAATCATGCCATCTGAACAGAAAAAGTTGTTTTGTGATGAGAAACATAGTATTTTACAAAAAGATAATAATGTGAAAAATGAGATAATTGATACTTTGAGATCAGTACCTAATCTAAGGACTTCAGAAAGCAGTTGCCATTATAAACTAAGAAATGTGAAAATCAGTTTGCCCAGAATAAATATTCCAAATGAAGTCCTATTGAAACATGAAATTGACAGATATAGAAAATTATTTCCAAGTAAACGACAGACTGCAAGAAAATCTGTTAATATAAAGACTATAAACTCTATTGAAGAGTGCATGTTGCTTCCTAAGTCTGAGATAACTGAAGACGAGAGTAGAAAAATGTCTGCAAAAATTCTTAATTTCAGCTGTTCAAAATGCCAAGATGACATTCTGTATAGCCCAAATGATTTGCACAAACATTTTCAAATGTGGCACTATGGTGAATTACCTTCCTATCCTTGTGAAATGTGCAGTTTTTCGGCAAGTGACTTCCAAGTATTTAAACAACACAGGCACACCCATAAAAGCACTTTTGTGAAATGTGACATTTGTAACAATGAGAATGTATATACTTTATTGGACTTAACTAAGCATTTCATATCCACACATTGTATTAATGGTAATTTTCAGTGTGAAAGGTGTAAATTCTCTACCCAGGATGTTGGCACATTTGTTCAACACATTCATAGACATAATGAAATTTCTTATAAATGTGGTAAATGCCGTCATGTGTGTTTTTCCAAAGAAGAGCTTCAGAAGCACCTTCATCTTCATTCTAATGGGTTTCCATTTGTTTGTCAGTGTTGTGGTTACGGGGCCACCAAGAGATACAATCTTGTAAGACATGTTACAACTTTTCACAGAGAACATTTATATGCAAAAGAAAAACTGGAGAAAGACAAGTATGAAAAAAGAATGGCAAAGACTTCAGCAGGACTTAAGCTAATATTGAAAAGATACAAAGTAGGTACATCAAGGAAGACTTTCTGGAAAAGGAAGAAAATTAACAGTGGAAATGATGGAAAGAGAGAAACATACACACAGATACTTAAAGCAAACAGAAAACAGACTAATGATCAGACCTGCCTTGTTGAAGAGTGTTTAAGTAAAAAAAAGGATGAGAGAGTAAACTGTGTGGCGAAGAATGATAAACCTGCTGAGTTACAGTCTGACAAACCAACTCTTCTGCCCGCTGGACAGTGTAATGGAGCTGAAAAGGGATCAAATTCTACTTCAGGTCCCTTGAAGACATTTTCTGTTCAAGGCCCTACAGTGTTAATGGTGAAAAATAATAAAATAACAGTGCCTGCTAACTACAGTGCTAAATTTATGGGCTTCAAGATGGTGGATGGAAAACAACATATTGTAATAAAATTGTTGCCTGCCAATAAAAGTTTATATTCATTAGGCTTACAGTCAGGTGCCTCTAAGGACACCACTGCTAGTTTGCAGCCCCAGACTTCAGACACCACCAGACCTTTACCAGCAGGAGTGGCGACTGAACTAAATAACACAGTTTACATGAAAACAACTCAGTTTTCATGTTCACCTATGCTTTCAGGGAAAGTGACTTCAGAAAAAGAAATGGCTTTGATATCTCAAATGAATAATACGCTTACAGTGGGTAATGAAAAAAGTGCGGCTTTTTTGCCAGGATCATCAGAATTAGTTACAGCCTCAGTGAATTTACCCACAAAAGTTGAAACTAAAGATACCGGTACTGACTTACAGGGAAATGGTATCACTCAAATTCATCCTCAGGTATTAGGTACTACCATTACAAGTCAAGATAAAATCAACTCTTCTGTCAGACCAAATGCATACAGCAGTGGAGATATGCATAATTATTGTGCTAACTATGCGAATTCTGAGTTACCTGTTGAAGCTTCCAATCAAGGATCATTACCGTTTCATAATTACTCAAAAGTGAATAATTCTAGTAAGCATCATAGGTTTACAAGGACAGCAGTGTGTGTAGAAAATCCTCAAAGAGAATCTTCCAGAAAAATGATGGTTCAACAACCAATTAGTGAATCTGTTTTGTCACTAGTGAAGAAGGAGAGCTTAAATCCAGATAGTCTCTTAGTATCTATTAGTCTTTTAAATAGTAAGTATAAAACAAAAACACAGGCTGAAATTGAAGAGCAGGGTGATTTAGGAACGGAACCAAACACTGATGGACAGAAGCTGTACGCAGATGAAAATGAAAATCCAGAAGGAATGACTGACACATCTAAATGGGATAATGTTTCTCGTACTGATTCACCTATGATGCCTAGAATCACATCTGTTTTTTCTCTCCAGAGCCAGCAGGCTTCAGAATTCTTACCACCGGAAGTCAACCAGTTACTTCAAGATGTATTGAAAACCAAATCTGACATAAAACAGGACTCTAATAACATTCCAAATGAAAGCCTGCCACTTCATTGCGACCAGTCATTTCAGAAACATGAGCAACAGGGCAAAATAGTTGGATCCAAAAAAGACTTGAAAGTGCAAGACATCTTCCCAATTCCAGCTGGCAGCACTGGTGTTAATGAGCCTGCAAATCACTTGAATTTAAAGTATAATGGAAAACAAGGGCTGTCGATGTCCCAAAATATAATAGATTTAGAGAAGACACCTAGAATTTCAGGAATTGGCACGTTACTTAAGACTCAATCAGATGCGATAATAACACATCAGCTTGTAAAAGACAAACTACGAGCTACTACACAAAACTTAAATTCTGTATATATACAGAATCCTCTTGTAAATGCAAAACAAAGAAAAGCTGTATTTGTTCAGACTCCAAAAGGCCTCTTAGTACCATTGCATGTTGCTAGCAAACCTGCATTACACGTCGTTTCCGGAAGACCACTTTCATTTGCTAACCCACAAGGTGTACCTGCTGCTCTTTTAAACAAGAAACCTGGTATGATTTTAACTTTTAATAATGGGAAACTTGATGGTGTTTCCAGTGTCAAAACTGAGAATGCTCAATCTTGTGGTGGAATTACAGCTAAAGAACCTTGCAAAACACCGTTTTTAAAGGCAGAGCCAAGTAATAATAACTGTCTTACTCCTGTCCTTTGTTCTAGCATTGGCAGTTGTGTTAGCATGAAAAGTGGCTCAGAAAAGCCTTTACCATTAAAAGGCCCTTACATTATTAAAACATCAGCAAATTCTTCAGTGAAACCTGTTCCTACTCCTACTGTGCTATCTGAGCATCAGGGAACTAAGAATATCTTAGACTCAGGAAAGCAGCAAAAGGAGGTTTCCCCAGAACCACCCCTTTATACCCTCTTGCCTGATGGCAAACAAGCTCTTTTTTTAAAGTGTGTGATGCCAAATAATACTGAGCTGCTTAAGCCTAAAGTAGTCCAGAACAGTACTTACCATCAAAATATACAGCCAAAGACACCTGAAGGAACACCACCAAAAATACTGCTGAAAATTTTTAATCCAGTTTTAAATGTGAGTGGTTCCCGAAACCCATTAGTAAACCACTCTGCATCTTCACAGCACACAGCTCCTCAGACTACAGAAAGAGGGCAGAAAGAGCCAGAGTCTTCTAAGGATGCCTTACCATTGCTAGATGATTTGATGCCAGCAAATGAGATTGTGGTAACATCTACAGCAGCTTGCCCAGAATCTTCTGAGGAGCCAGTACGCATCACCAACTGTTCAGACTCCAGGGTACTGAGATCTAAGATGGATTGTACAAATGAAAACTTCGATAGAGAAAAGACTTCCAGAAGAAACTTTGCAAGACTTAAAACTCGCGTAGGAAGTAAAGATTCTGAAATCATCTTTGCATCTAGAGACAGAAACTGTAAACGAAAATGTAGGAATAGTTACCAAGAACCTCCTAGGAAGAAACCTTTTCACAGAAAGCGTAAAGAAAAGGCCAAAGCTGAAGATAGCTGTCAAACGTTAGGACCTAGACTTCCGAAAGATTCTGTCAGAACTTTACGCCTTTTCCCGTTTAGTCCCAGACAGCTTGTGAAATGTCCCAGGAGAAATCAACCAGTGGTAGTTCTGAATCATCCTGATGCAGATGCACCAGAAGTAGTAAATGTAATGAAAACTATTGCTAAATTTAATGGGTGTGTACTTAAGGTTGCATTGTCAGAAAGAACTATGAATGCCTTACTGAAACCGGTTTATTGTATCCCTTCTACAACAACTTATGACGAATTTTCTAAGAGGCACAAAACATTTAAGCCTGTTTGTTCTGTGAAAGAAAGGTTTGTGCTGAAGTTAACACTCAAAAAGACAAGCAAAAACAATTACCAGATTGTGAAAACTACCTCTAAAAGTGTTCTGCAGGCTAAATTTAGCTGTTGGTTTTGTGGTCGTGTATTTGACAATCAGGATGCTTGGGCTGGTCATGGACAGAGACATTTAATGGAAGCTACTCGAGATTGGAATATGTTAGAATGATTTACCAAGAAAAAATTTGAAGAAAAACAGTAGTTTGAATGACTGTAATGCACACATTTTCTATTTCAAAATAGTACCTGAACTTTAAACATTTAAAGTCAGTAATACTTAAATGGAAGAGCAAATGTTTTATATGTGATCATTGGTAATGCAGCACTATATATACATACCCGAAAGAAACTGGTCAGCACAGAGGTACGATGGTTTAATTTTTTTAAAAAATGTGTTGTTGGGAAGTTAGGTCTAAAGAAAACGTTTCTAAAACAGTTTTATTTTCTCAATTTACATGAAAATATTTATGGCTCTTAGTAGATTGTGACAGCCCTATTCCCTGTCTTTAATCTTTCACCAGCCTTATAAAACTGATAAATACAGCTCCTCTGAGGTGGAAAGGTGCTTTCAGCATGCAGCTGATATGGTTTGGGGTAGGAACTTACTGCACATCTGATAGAATTCTTTTGAAGGTTATAAGCTCCTTTGAGTGTATGTGTAATTTATTGTAGTTAAACCTCAGAATAATTGAAGAGTTTAGAACACTGATCCAAGGTGATATTTTATTCTCTTAAATTATGTTATCATGATTTGGATTGTCAATCTAAAGAGAAGACTTAAGCTCTTGGTCTTGTTTAGAAACTAGTTAACTAATGTGAATATTTCTCTAAATTTGATTTTGTTCTTTTTTTATTCTCTTGCAAAGAATTGTTTTAAGTTTCTTCCCCATTAGTCAAATTACGGGTTTTTTTTTTCCTCCCTTGATTGTCATCCCTTTAAAAAGAGGGGATAAAATTGTACAACTCCATGATTTGTACAGTTTGTTATGTGTGTTTGGGGTGGGGCAAATTGGATGAATCTGTTCTGGAAAACAATGTATTTGAATTTTGCAGGTAAACTAGTATAATAAAAAATATTCAAAAAAAAGAAAGGATCACGAAAGCACTTCCAGGAAGACGGCTTTTCTTGAAAATGAAAAATTATTTTGTAGAAACAGTTTTTTGAACCAAGATAAGCGAAACAAATCAGGTTTTTGTTCATGTTTAATTACTGTTTGTATGAGAAAGTGACTAAACTGGAAGAAACCACTTTATTAAGCAACTTTTCAGTATGCCAAAGCAGATTTATACTTATTGTTGGCATTTGTGAATGGGACAGCATTGACAATGGATGCAGCAGCAGTGTGCAAAACTTCAGGACAGATGATTTCTAAGGGACATACCCAGCAGGGAGACTTAAACTGGTGTGTTCATGACAGCAACAGAATCATAGATTTAAACTTTTGACTTTGTATGTTTGCATCACATTTTGTTGGATCATTGAAAAATGTTTTTGTATTATAAATTTATGTACTCTGATTTTTGTTACATTGTTACTAAAAGTGTTAACGTTTTTCCCTTTGGACTAAAACGTCAGGGCTGCTTTTCTGTATATAATGAAGTGAAAACTACGTATTTTTTTTAAATCATTTAGTTTGTTATAGAAATTTTGCACAGAAAGTTTTCTTTCAGTTTAGTTCTTTGCATGCACTAATTAAACTAGTGATTTAATTTAAAAGGAATATATAAAACTGCACCCATTTTATTGTTTGGTTTTATTTGAGATGTAGGGATTGTTTGTTTTTCTCTTTGTCAGTTCATTTTTCAGGGATTGAACACTATTGTAAGTAAGTGCCTAAAAGATGTGAAACAGTTTACATATGTCAGCTGTAAAAATAGGTCCCAAATGGGTCCACCCCCAATAGTTTTATTTTTTAAAAGCCATATGTAGATGCTTTGAGCTATCTTGCTATGCACATTACACTTGTACTGTTTTGTGTAGTTTGTCTACTTTCCTAGTGAAGTATTTTTTGTACAAAATCTGTTATACTTGTGTTTTTTTAAATTGAGCCTAAGAATGGAACTGATTGAAACATACAGGATATAGTAATAAAGCTACAGTGTTTAAAGAATAATAAGCATTGATAATTTCTGAAATGAAACATTTCTTCTATTACATTTATCTTAAGCTTTTGTTTCTTTATCCAGGATTTTCCTTTACTGGGCTAGAATCTAATGGGAATTGTATTCAATTAAGAAATACATAGATTTCAAAGTGTTGCTTTGTTCTGTGGGGTTCCCTTATTCTCAAAATCCTAAGTAACATTTAGTCTGAGGATAACATTAATGATAATTTTACTATACTGTGCCTGCATGTTAAGCTGTAGTGAGACTTATCATTTCAGTGTCCTAACATCAAGAAAGCCGAAGTTTTTGCATAAATTTCATGAGCTATTACCACCTTCTAATAGAAGGGGTCAAGAGAGAACTACTCTGTCAATACCTGCCAAAGTAGAAAAGGTAGTTCTTTTTCAGAAAAAACAATCTACTAAGAGTCTGGTGTCTACATTATATACTTCTTCTTGCCTTCAAGTTTTAAAAATGGTTTAAAATTAGACTACCAAATATATTAAAATAAGGAAGCCAGTAACAATAATCAGCCTGGCATAGGGGGAGAAGAATATTGGTATCCAGAGTTAGTATGAAAGGCACTTTTTAAAAGGACATTCAGAGGTATAGGAATGTGTAACCCGCACACAAAGGGGAAAAGCAGGCAACAGAAACTACCTTTCAGGGGGTAGAGCTGGCAAGATAGTGGCAAGCAGCTATTATAAATTTCTCCAAAGCACTTAAAACATGTTTAAGGCAGTAGAGGAAAGTTTAATGACAAGGTTTACTCAAATAGAGATGATTGGTAAAGAAAATGAGTTTAAAATGAGAATTGAGTGGGGAAAGTAATAAAAGTTGCCTAGACGACTGCTAAGAGAACAAACAGGTTTGTCCTGGAGAGGGTGAATCCAGGCTGCTCCTTGGAGGCAAGGATTCTGAAGCTTCATCTGACATACTTTGAACATGTTGCAAGGAGGGACTAGTCCTTGGAGAGGGTGGAAAGAGTGGAGGGACAGACAGCACAAGAGAGGAGGACCTTGATGAGATGGATTGATGCAGTCACTGGGGTAATGGGGATAGGTGTGTCAGAGACTAAGGCTGGCACAGGATAGAGCAGGGTGTAGGGCTGTTGTACATAAGGTCGCTGTGAGTCGCAAGTGACTTGATGACACATAACTTTAGGAAATTTATATTCATGAAAGTAGAGATTCTGAGAAGATTTGCACAAAAAGGACTTAAAAATGTAGATCTATCATGCGAACTAAAAATATGGGGCTATAGCTTCACAAATATGCTTTAGGCAGAGCCTTTTCTATATCACATCTCTAAAGAGCTCTGCAGTACACTCCCACCCAACAACTTTCTAGTTTCCAAGACACTAAATCCTAATGGGAGGTGACACCCAACTGTCTCCTCAGCACGGAGCTGCCTTTGCATCAGCAGCACAATTCTGTGATATTTGCCACTAGACCTCCCCATTTTATATATAAAACCAAGAAAGAATTTTGTTTTTAAATGGTATAAGATTGTATGATCTACAAAAAAAAATATTAAATGGTGACGGACCCAGTGCAGAAAGAGGGTACTGAGGGCCGGGGCATGCAAGGCTAGAAGCCCACTACAGCCTCAGTTGCAGCCTGCAAGGTGAGGTCACAGCTGTGGCTGGGGCCATGAGGGAGACTGGTAAAGCTGAGGAAAAGGAGTGATATGCTGATCAAATCCCTCTAATCGCTCATTCTGCCAGTCAAGGCAGCTGAGATCATCAGCTTTCCTGGGGTTGTTCCTCAAGATGAAGATCTTGAAAAAAAATCGTACCTCCAAGTGCAAATATGTGGACCATGTTCAAGGCCTTCATTGCCGTCAGGGACAACTACAATGACCGTGTTGGCTGTGGTGATAAGTGCTCCAAATTGGTGGTCACTACCACCCACACTCATGGCATCAACCTGATTGAGTTCTCCATAGTCCCTGTGCAACCTGGCTACTAGAGGAACAAGATTCATGAACTCCGCATGGTTCCCTGCAAGGTGACTTGCTGCAGTATCTCGTGCTGTTGTGCCCTGTTCCCAAGGCCTGGCATAAGTCTCAGCCCATGTGCCCACGAAACTGCTGCTGCTCCTGACTGGTGGTTGTGACTTCTACAACCTCAGCCATGACCTGCTCTGCTGCTATAAGCAACTTCAAGGCCAACTTTTTTATCTTTTTTTTTCTTTTTTTCCCTCATTTCCTCTTTTATTTTATTTGCCTTGGGTTTTTTTTTGTTTTGTTTTGTTTTGGGTTTTTTTGGGGGGCTTTTTTTCCCCTTTGTTTTACTGTCTTGGATTTTTTAAAATTTTTTCTTCCCACCACAGGGAAAAGTGGGACACATGCAGCATAGCAGCAAGACAGTTGAGGGAAAGCCTGCCAGGTCAGAAGACCCCACAGTGTGGGACAAGGGCAGGCCAACAAGGCCGGGTCAGGTTCCACACCCCTGCCAGCCACACACCGCAGGCTGGCAGGAAGGAAGGGCCCGCGGACGGAGTGAGAAGAGCAGTCCCATCCACCATGGGATGTCCAGCCCTTGTCTGGCGTGGCTTAGGCCCGGCCTGGGAGAGCACACTGCTGCCACATCGATCTGAGGTCAAGGTCACCTTTAATATCTCTAAATCTATATATTTACCTGCCCCCAACCTCTGGAAGGAGATTGTGCAAGCCTTGCTAAGGCCTTCACAGACCAATCATAAAGACCCACAGTAGACTGTCCATACTGAGGTTTTAGGTCCAGCTGTGGCCACCACATAGTGGTTTTTATACAAGAAAAAGTGAATTAAGTATAGGAAAAAGGAAGCTGCATAAGACTAATTAGCAGAGACTGAAGAACTGATACTTTTTAAAGAATCACTCAAGACTTTCATATTTTTGTCTTACCCATACGGTGTTGTGCTGCTAACCAAGGCCTGTACTCTTCTGGTGGTCTGGGTCGACCAGTGGCTCTCTGAGAGTGATGAGCAGTGTCCTCTCTGAAAGTACACAGCTTGGAAAACCTACTGGAGGGTCAACTGTAGGTCTGTCCAGCTGAACTGCAGTAGACTTAAATATCAT